GCATTTAATATGTACTCTGAATCTAAGACATTTACACATAAGGATATACTCCAGTCAAATATATTTTTCATCCAGACTTTGCTGTGCTGTAACACTCTACCACTCTCCCTTCTGTTTTTGTTGTTTTAGTTCTGGGATACAACTGCTGGTGATACCAGAACACCCTCCTCACAGCACCTCACACACAGAAACCCTTATGTTAAAAATGCCAGGTTAAAGGATAAGTTCACCTTTGGGAACATGTTACATGCTCCAGCTGTTTTAGGGTGGAACATGTAACATGTTCCCCCTGCTGCAGACGCTGCCCACTGTCCTCTCTCCCTGTGACATCAGTACGGGGAGACAGTGGCAACCCTAGGTGGGTGCGGGCCGCACTGGGTGACACCTATCGCACCATCATAGGGGGGTGACACCAAAATGAAAAGATGTAATTTCGACAGAGCAGAAATAATATTTGGGCCGGACCCTCTCCACGCACTTTGCAAGGCAGTGGCACAAAATTCTGGATTGATTAGACGAAACGAATAATAAGCGTGATTAAGGAACAGGAAGGAACTGCGCATGTGATCGAATCTAATGTCCAGACAACAAATTGCAAAGAACTTAAAAGCCCAAGTCATATGATTACGTCATCTAAGCCAATCAGGTTCAGTGAAGAACTTCGACCTCAAACAAGCGCGTGACCAGAATTAAAATTCGTAGGATATAAGCAACGAGTTTTTACTAAAAAAAGGCTTTTGCAGTAGACTCTGGTACAGGAGGACTCGGAGGAGATCCATGGAGAAGTCTGGAGTGGTGACCCCATAGTTTTACTGCACTGGGTGACACCAACCCTTGTGATGCCAGTGTGGGGAGAGGTTCTGTGAATGAATGAACTAAAAGTCCTTTGAAGCTGTCGGCTTGTATTTCTCAGGAACTTCCACAGAGATATGGAGTGCTGTGGTAGTTCATTCATTCTTCCTGTCACAGTGTACCTGCATGTCAGTGTGAGGTACAAGCACACAAATACACTGACAGATTTGAGTCCCGCTTGGCACCAGCGATCTGCACATTTTTTTACCTGCAAAAAAATAGGCTTTTTTAAGTGAACTTATCCTTTAATAAAGTCTATCACAGCCTCCAGACATAATCAATCTTGCCTTGGAAGCTTTAACCTCCCTAGCGGTAATCCTGAGTGTGGCTCGGGGTTCATTTATAGTACCAAAAGCGGTAACCCCAAGCCACACTCGGGATTACACTGTAGTGCTTGTCCTGCGATCCCCCGATCTTTACCTTGTCCTGCGATCCACAATCTTTACCTTGTCCTGCAATCCCACGATGTTCTCCCGCTGTGTCCTCCGGCTGATGCCGGCATCCATCTTCCAGGTTCCGTTCCCTGCAAGCATCGGGATGCAGGGGGGGCGGAACTGGCAGGAGATTAAAAAAATTAAAAATATGACATACGCACAATACATTGTAATCTGTTAGTATTACATTACTGTATCAAACCATTTCACCTCAGTTTTGTCCCTAGTTCTTTGTCCTGTGCCCTGCCTGCACTTTTATCGTTCTTTCTGCCTGGAAACTTGAGAACGTCCATGGCATCCAAAAAGCGTCCTTTTAGGTCAAAATCAGTTTTAGATCGGCTAGAGAACAGCGATAGTGAATTAGAATCACTTGCAGAATTGAGCGATAATGATTCGTGGGGAAATTCGTCATCAGACACTGAAAACAATTCTGCAATTGAGCTCAGTGATGTGCGAACTTGGTGCTCTATTTCAAATTTCAGTGTTTTTGGTTTGATTACATTATTGAATTACATTTATTATATTATAATTTTTTATAATTATTTATTATCTTATAATTTATGATTTCGTGTTTCAAACTTTATCATACCCGGGATGTTTAGACTCTTGTTTGGACAGATTTAAGTGAATTATTCCTAAGACTTACAGGCCTACAATATAAAACAACAAATTTCCATGCAAAACAATGGGCCACTTTGTCATTCAAAAATATTGATTAGATAGACCACCAGGGAGGTTAAAGCAATTGGTAATATAGGAATCAAAGACAGACAAAATGACCTTGCACAGGCTTCAGAATGAACTTTGCTGCTGAGCTCCTACTGTCCCTGTGAAGAGGCATGTGCTTATTCTGCAAAGAATTACCATATTTTTCGCTCCATAAGACGCACCTGACCATAAGACGCACCTAGGTTTTAGAGGCGAAAAACAAGAAAAAAAAATATTCTGAACCAATGGACTGCAGACACAGTACACACAGTACAGGGATGACCAGAGACTGCGGACACAGTGCAGGAGATGACCAGAGACTGCAGACACAGTACAGAGATGACGAGAGACAGTACAGGGATGACCAGAGACTGCGGACACAGTGCAGGAGATGACCAGAGACTGCGGACACAGTGCAGGCGGACACAGTACAGGGATGACCAGAGACTGCGGACACAGTACAGGCCAGAGAGATGACCAGACCAGAGACTGCGGACACAGGGGATGCAGGCGGACAGATGACCAGAGACTGCGGACACAGTGCAGGAGATGACCAGAGACTGCGGACACAGTACAGGAGATGACCAGAGACTGCGGACACAGTGCAGGAGATGACCAGAGACTGCGGACACAGTGCAGGGGATGACCAGAGACTGCGGACACAGTGCAGGGATGACCAGAGACTGCGGACAGTGCAGGAGATGACCAGAGACTGCGGACACAGTGCAGGAGATGACCAGAGACTGCGGACACAGTGCAGGGGATGACCAGAGACTGCGGACACAGTGCAGGGGATGACCAGAGACTGCGGACACAGTGCAGGAGATGACCAGAGACTGCGGACACAGTGCAGGGGATGACCAGAGACTGCGGACACAGTGCAGGGGATGACCAGAGACTGCGGACACAGTGCAGGGATGACCAGAGACTGCGGACACAGTGCAGGGGATGACCAGAGACTGCGGACACAGTGCAGGGGATGACCAGAGACTGCGGACAGTGCAGGGGATGACCTGAGACTGCGGACAGTGCAGGGATGACCAGAGCGGACAGGGATGACCAGAGACTGCTGACCTTTGGGGAGGGAGGGGGAGCGGGTACCTGAATTTGACAGGTACCCGCTCCCACTTCCGCGAGTTGTCCTTCCCCCTTCTTCCCGGGCCGGCTTCTGTGACAGCCGGGTGCCCACTGCGCATGCGCGAGAAGCGCTGCGCTTTGTGAATGGCCCAGCGCCTTCTGGGACCTGTCATGTGTCCCAGAAGATACCGGATCATTCACAAAGCGCAGCACATGCGCAGTGGGCACCCGGCTGTCACAGAAGCCAGCGCGGGAAGACTGTGCAGCGCTGGACCGAGGAACAGGTAAGGCCCTGCAGGAGAGAACAGCTGAGCGGCCGGCCCGGTATTCTGACATGGTGGCGGCAGAAATACCGGACCGGCCACTTTATATTCACTCCATAAGACGCACTGACATTTTCCCCCCTTTTTTGGGGGGAAAAAAGTGCGTCTTATGGAGCGAAAAATACGGTATATAGAACCCTTATTAGGGTAAACTAAGAAAATTATTTGATTTTAGCATAGTTGCTACACTTACTAGATAGCATAAGTAGCTCCCCGAATACTTTAAATTGTTGCTTAGAATTGCTCTTTCAAGATGATTTTAGAAGTATTGTGCATAGTCTTTTTAAACGGTCAGTGACAAATCTAAAATGAAAAAAGCATGCTAGTTCTCAAAGGAAGGAAACATGAAGCTGTAAAAATGAGCACGCTGGCACTTTTTGTCCTCTGATGCACCAATATGGTTCTAATAAGTAGAAGGTCTCTCTCAGTTCTACCTTTGTGATCCTGATTAGAAAACAGAAAAATAAATCTGTTCAATAATACAATTTTTTCTCCAAATGATTTTTCCATGTCCACTGCCAAACCAAACACATGGTGCATGTTAGTCAGCTGGGCCTACATCAATTCATCAGCTGTGTGAGCTGCTCTGCACTGTTTGCCAAACCTGTTAAGACTAAATCCCTGTGTTTTCAAACCCTAACTCCAAACATCCTTTTAGGCTTCAAAAGAGTCCTGAGCATGGAACATCCAATATTTCTACAATTCAAGTTGTTCACTCAATAGCTTTTTGAATGCATGGATTGAGTTGTCACTTTACCACTGTACATTGTTCTTTTTTTTTTTTCTTTTACAGCATTCATTTCAGGATTTCTAGAAATCTGTGACAAGCATGTGAGTACAGGATATAATAGTGAAACCTAGCACAACCAAGCTTGGAATTCCTAATTTAAAGTGCAACTCTTGCCAAGCAATAATAAAAACCCTGACAGAGGTTCTAACCTTTCTGCACAGTATTTAAAACTACAAAAAGGTTTTACTGAAATTCCGTTTTTAGTAATAGAAATTAAACTTTAAATAACAGATGTACATGTAAAAAAAGAGCACTTGCCCACTGCCTGAACACCTTTTTGATGAAAATGAATCTCCACCAGAGGTTTCTAAACAAACCAACTATGGTCAATCACTTGTGTCCTCCACTATGCTTGATATTACCCGTACCCTGTAAAATAATGTAGGGGTTGGCAAGAGCAACCATGGAGCACCGATGGAAACACTACCGAAAACATCCGTTTCTGAAAAAAACTAATTTGGCAATTTTTCCATATCAAAGCATCATATAGCATTACAGGAGAGGGAAGATTCGCTCTCACCTTTTCATTTGTTAATTAACATTAATTGTGTAAGTAAAGCTCTAAAAAACCATTTCTGAACATGAGCCAGAAAAACAGCCACCTTCTCTGGGCCAAAGCACATTTAATCGCCTCCCGCCTGCCATATAAGGAAATGATGGGCGCAAGGCGATTCTCTCGTTCTGGAAGGACGTCATATGACGTCCTCCCACCCACTCTAACCACGCGTGCGCACCCTCTGGGGTGCGCAGCTCTGCGATTGGTGGTACGCTGTGTCCCTGGGACACAGTGGATCACCGATCAATGGAAAGAGTTGAAGACGTTGGCTCTGTCATGTGATCAGCTGTGTCCAAACACAGCTGATCGCGTGTAAGTAAGGAAATGCTGGTTATCGGCATTTCTCTCCTCACGAGCTGTCACGCTGACAGCTCGTGAGGAGAGGAGAGACAGTAATCGGCATTACTCAGAGGGGACATGTACACTGATCATCAGGGCACTGATGATCAGTGTGTTCTGATGATCAATGTAGCCCCAGCAGTGCCACCTGTCAGTGCCCATCAATGCCACCTGCCAGTGCCCATCAGTGCCACATCAATGCCACATATCAGTGCCTGCCACTGCACATCAGTGCCACATATCAGTGTCCATCTGAGCTGCCTTTCAGTGCCACCTACCAGTGCTAGTCAGTGCCACCTATTAATGCTAGTTAGTGCCGCCTATCAGTGCCGCCAATCAGTGAAGGAGAAAAATCACTTATTTACAAAATTTTATAACTATCAGTGCCAGTCAGTGCTGCCTATCAGTGCCTGTCAGTGCTGCCTATCAGTGCCGCCTAACAGTGCCAGTCAGTGCCACCTAACAGTGCCAGTCAGTGACACCTAACTGTGCCGCCTATCAGTGCCACCTATCAGTACCATAAATGAGTGCTGCTTTTCAGTGCCCATCAGTGATGCCTGTCAATACCCATCAGTGCCACCTACCAGTGCCTCTTCATCAGTGCCCATCATCAGTGCTGCCTATCAGTGCCCATCAGTGCAGCCTATCAGTGCCCATCACTGCAGCCTCATTAGTGCATACCAGTGAAGGAGAATAATCACTTATTTACAAACTTTTTATAACAGAACTAAGAAAAAACTTTTTTTTTCAAAATTTTCAGTTGTTTTTGGTTTGATTAGCAAAAAAATAAAAAACCCAGAGGTGACTAAAAATACCACAAAAAGAAAGCTCTGTCTCAAAAAAATATATAGAAATTTAATATGGGTGCAGTGTTGCATGACCGCATAATTGTCATTCAAAGTAAAATTGGCCTGGGCAGGAAGGCGGTATAAGTGCCCAGTAGGCAAGTGGTTAAAATGGTCAGTTACAAAGTGTAAAATTGTTCTGTGGTCAAATGACTTGAAATGTGATATTATTTTTGCTAACCATGTGTGATGTGTCCTCTGGACTAAAGAGGAGATGGACTTTCCAGCTTGTTACCAGTACTTACTTCAAAAGCCTACATCTCTGATAGTATGGGGGTGCATTAGTGCATATAGAATGGGCAGCTTGCACATCTGGAAAGGCACCATCAGTGATCATCCAGACATCTTTTTTCAGGGAAGGCCTGGTATATTAGACAGTAGAAGAGTCCAGGTGCTTAACTGGCCTGCCTGCAGTCTGAACCTTTCACCAATTGTAAATGCCTGGTGCACCTTGAAATTAAAAATAAGACCAGGACTGTTGAGAAGTTAGAATCCTAAATCAGGCAAGAATGGGACAACATTCCTCTCCCAAAACTCCAGCAACTTGCTGCCATCAATTTTAAGATTACATTTTTTTTCTTAAAATTGTACATTTTATTAGTTTAAACCTTTGATTAGTTCTCTATTTTTATATTGTGAAAAAAATATGGATTTGCAAATCACTTTCTGTTTTTATGTAAATTTTACGCAGCATCCCAACTTTTTTGGAATGGTGGTTGTATTATTCGTAACCCTTTTTGAAACTGTTGAGGAAAGTCTGGTCACGGATCAAAACGCACGCCCACAGCGACCGAGCTAACCGAGGCGTGGTCCGTGATTTGGGGTAAAGAGGGAATGAGAGAGACTTTGAGCATATAAGACTGGCTGTGATACCCTTTCACAGCCCTCACTGCCTCTGGTCACCACTAGAGGGAGACTCCACTCCAATCCAGCTGGCTGACCACACAAAGCAGATACGAGTCTTATATACAATCTGGTGCACTCTAAGGGCTGGGGAGCAGCCTAGCAATTAGTATACCCTTCTAGGATTCCTCCAGCTATCCTACAAGCTAGAACACCAGTGTTAATCACTCTTCCACTGTCCTCACACCCCCCACACCAGACAACAACAAATGGTAGCTTGCCACCACCCAACAGTTTGTCTGCAGACTGGTCTGCTGTGCCACCACACACACACAGATCTCCATCTGGCAGATCTGCTACTTTACAATCTGCATGCAATCTGCCAATGCGCAATGCAATTGCATACATTGGCAATGAACTCAGACGAGCACATAGACAGTACAATACAGCAATCTCTCTGGAGAAATGAGCCTGAGCTTAAGTACACAGAAGTCACTTATTCATTTTATGATTTAATATCCCGAAGGTGGGCAATGCATAAAACATGTACAAAGAAAGAACAGTTACAGAAAATACAAAAAGACACAAAATTTCACTATGAAATAAAAAAGGGAATAAAAACAGATATAAAACTATTACTAAGATTTATCCTGTGACTGGATGTATCCTGTGACAAAGAAAGTCAGTCAGAGGAACTGGTTCCATACAAATCACACCATCCATATCTCAGGGTCCTAAATTTATTGAAATATGGACTTTAGCCCTTGGCCAATCAACCCTGGGGGGGTGTTCCTGTATCAGCCCACAGGACATTCTGTGTTCTGAAGTGTTCAATTTCGAATGGGCCAGAAACGGTTTGGATCACTGGGTCAGGGATAGGATTTCTGACACCAGCTCATCAGTCTGATCGCGACAGTACCAATCATTGTTCATCTGTCATAATCAGGTGCTATATAACCATTTTGTGTGTTTCTCCGGATTTTTACAGAGGCTACAGATACAGTTTTACATGTAGATGTAGCCTAAAGTGTGTCCAATCAGAAGGAATTATATTCATCTCTCTGCAACTAATATTTTAGCTTTTATGAGAGATGAAACAGATTCCTCTGATCTGTGGATATAACTCAAAGCTAGCAAACCTTTTGGAGCCTTCTTCTGGTCTCCTGTTGACTCTTGTAGCCGAAATGACTAGGATTCTTCTTTTAGGTTCAAGAAGGTGGCAAACTCTGGCTACATCGGGGAGAACATTTTAATAGCATCTAGGTAACACATCTAGCTGCTCTGTCCTTTTAGATGATAATTGGTGAACATATGTATCTGACTGAATACTGAACACTTATCTTTAATACCTAAACTAGATCTACAAATACATATTTCTACTGATCACCTCACATCTCAACTACTGATAAAATGATTCTACTCTTACATTTATGTTACACACGCATCCACTGGTCCAGATTTGAAGACAGGCCTAGCATACATATGTATTATGTGCATACTTGATCAGCATATTGTTGGGATTTCACCTGCCCCCTTCAAAGGGCAGGTTCAGTTCCAGGATACATGAATTTCCTTTCTGCGGGGCTGCATAGGACAGGCTACAGACAAAAAGAAAGCACTGCAGTGAGGAACAATTCCTAATCCAAATCCCCAACGTATGCAATGAGTGAAAAGTGGGCTCCTTCCCCCACTGGGACCCATGTGCACTGCATGTACTGCACACATTAGGGGCCAATGCCTGGAACAACTATGCAACTTACAAAATTAAAGTAAGGTTGAAATTGCTGATCTTAATATTTCTAGAGTCTGTGCCTCAGCACTCTAAGCCAATCAGCTGACCTTCATTTATATCTACTGACAATGAACATGCTTACAGGAGCAAATGGATGACCTCATTAGACTGATTCTGCTCCTTCACTGTCCAGCTACAGGCTGGGGTCAGGGAGGTGACCTCACTGTGTTGTTTAACTGCAGCAGAAAAACCTCAGGTCACTAGGCTGCCTATGCTGACTGCCAGGACTATGTAAATTTTAGGACTAAATGGATAGAAATACAAATACTTTGGCAGGAAAAACAACTACCTTATGTATTTGAATTGTGTATTTAGCTGTTTTTCTGAATTCCAGCTTTAAGAGTAGGGATGTACAAAAGTTAATCTGCTATTGTAAAACATGCTGATCATTGAAGAGGATGATTCACAGTACTGGAAGACTATAATGTGTTCCAAGATGGAAGGTATAAAATCTGGCATGTATAACATTAATCCATACATGAATTCTATTCTTTTTTTTAAATAGTTCAGGATGGTAGTGGGGAATGTTTTTTTTGCACATATTAGGCACCGTTAATATCATTTGAAAATCATTAGAATGTTACAAAATACCTTAGTATTGTTCCTGTCTATGCACACCCTTGTTGTGAGCACAAAATATATATTGCTACTGAATGTATATGAAGCTGTGGAACATATCTGCCTCTATTATCCAATATTTTAAAGCAGCCAACCATAGAAAACAGGTATAAATTATGCTAGTTACTTATTTTTTAGACAAAACATTCTCCATATTTTCAATATGTTTCTATTTTGTTACTCAATAAAAAAATCTACATTGCCACAATAATAAATCATTTGATGGTCTAGTCCAGTGGTCGGCAAGCCGCGGCTCGCGAGCCACATGCGGCTCTTTACACGCTTTAATGCGGCTCTTGTGTGCCGGGCGCCCGCTCCCCTCCCTCCTCTCGGGCGGCAGGGACTCTGCAGCGTGATCCAAAAAAAAACAGCCAGGGCAGCGCGCTCAAATGCAATGATTGGCCAGTCTCGCTGCCACTCACATCCTGATAGCCAGTGATTGGCTGTCAGGATGTGTGTAGGCGGGGCAGCGTGACGAACGTGAGAGGAGCTAAGCTCCTCTCACAGTCCGCCCTGAAGACCGGAACGGCGCGGGAACACGGCGAGAGGAACGCGCGGAACAAAGGTAAGTGAATTGACACAGGGGGGACTTGGCTTACTACTTGCTACTTACTTACTACTACTATATGAGGGATGAATTAATATGGGGGATGAATTACTATATGGGGGATGAATTACTATGGGGGATGAATTGCTATAGGGGGGATGAATTACTATATGGGGGATGAATTACTATATGGGGGGATGAATTACTATGGGGGATGAATTACTATATGGGGGATGAATTACTATATGGGGGATGAATTACTATATGGGGGATGAATTACTATATGGGGATTAATTACTATAAAAACTTATTGAAACTAAAAACAGTGTACCATCCTATGTATTTTCAGTTTTAAAAATGTGGCTCTCAAAATAAATTTCAATCGTGGTTTTGGCGAGATTTGGCTCAGTTGAAAAAAAAGGTTGCCCACCACTGGTCTAGTCTAATATAGTTCACACTCTGTAATTTTGTCTCTCCCTAAATGAATTATGAAAATGCATTACACTTGTTAAGATATATCGCAATATCCATACACTCTTCCTTTCCTTGCCCTTGCTTTTAGGTTTGCTACCACTTGCATGTGGTTTCACTTAGCACATAAGTAAGTCTAGGGTCATTTGAATCCTGGTGCTTACATTTATAAATGTATGTCTTGTTCTCTAATGGGGAGATTGCTTCCTGTTAGGTTACACAGGGTC